GTGCTCATCCACAATTTCTAGAGTGAAGTAAAAGCCAGTAATGCTAACATAAGTCACTTGGTTTTAGGAACTTACATTAATAGTTACATGTATATCATATTAGATCTGTTATTAAATTACATACTGTATGTGATGTTGGCAGACTGGTGTCAAAATTTATGACATTTGGTTTTTTGGCTTCTTTGCTATCCTGGTCCTCAACTTCCATTTCAATTTCATCTTCTTCCTCATTCTCTGCTATAGAAACAGAATATCATAAGAAAAAAAACAAGATACGTGAAAATATCAAAGCTATGCACCCTCTCAAATGCATAATTCCTTCTTGAGGAAAGGGGTTCTTCTAAATACCACACGCATCTGGTAGCTCTACAGCACTGCAGAGAGGCAGCCAGAGGGCTAGGGTCTAGGCGGGGCTCTATTACTAGCTACTTTTTTTACAAATTAATTTTTTATTTTGAAATAGCTTAAGATTTACAGAAAAGATGCAAAGAAAGTACAGTGTTCTCATATATCCCACATCCATTTTCCCCTATAATTAACACCTTATATTAGTATGATACATTTGTCACAACTAAGGAATCAACATGGTTACATTACTATTAACTAAACTTCATATTTTATGTGGATCGCCTCAGTTTTTACCCTATCTCCTTTTTCTGTTCCAGCATCCCATCCAGTATACCACATTACATTTAGCTGTCATGTCTCCTTAGCCTCCTTTGGGCTGGGGTGGTTTCTCAGATTTTCCTTTTTCCTGATGGTCTTGACAGTTTTGAGGAGTACTGGTCAGCTTGTTTTGTAGAGTATCCCTCAATTAGGTTTTGTTTGATGTAATTCTCATGATTAGACTGAGGTTATGGATTTTGGGGAAGAAGACCACAAAAGTGACGTGCCACTTTAACAGCGTATCAAGCATACATACTACCAACTTGACTTAGCCCTGCTGATGCTAACCTTGATCACCCAGCTGAGGCCGTATTTGTCAGGTTTCTCCACTATAAAGTTACTCGCCCCCCTTTTCATATTGTACTCTTTGGAAGCAAATCACTACACTTAAGGGCGAGGAGTTGTGCTCTACTACCTCGAAGGGGAAATATCTATATAAATTAACAATTCTTCTGTAAGAGAGATTTTTCTCTTCTCCCTTGCTAGTAACTAATTTTAACCTTAGACAACTCATTCCACTTGATTAAACCTTAGTTTCCTCATCAGAGAAATGACAGGCTTGAATAAGACATCTCTAAGGGTCTTTCAAACTTATAATTTTAAAGAGTTCCTTCACAAGAAAGAAAAGCAAGCAAGCAAGCAAGATCTGTTAATTAAAATTGAAAAAAGATATCATTATAACCTGGGAGACTTTCATAACATTTTTCCAGTGACACCACTTCCCCGGCTCCCAGTATTTAAAAACACAATGTTTGTAAACATTCTCATACACGTTTTGCTCTGTAATTTTAGGT